TAGAAGTTTGAATTTTTTTTAATAGCAACATGATTGACATGAAAAGTAGAGGTGAACCAGGAGAAGGTTAATTCAGGAAAGATTACAGTTACATAGGAATGGCTGTGTTCTGAAAGCAAAATATCCCTTCCCAAGGTCCTTTCCTTGAGCACCTTAAAGTTTTTCTGCTTCCATTTTTCTTTCATTAAAATGAAACTCCTGGGTTTCTGTAAGTAATACCGCTTTTCTGAAACTAACAAGCTAAAAGATTTCAACAGGAGGCCAAGAACTAAGTTAGCAACAACAACAAAAAAGAACAACATACGGAGTTGACTAACAGTATTAGTACATTAAATTCATAGAGACTCAAATGTCATCTATTATTTTCCTTTGTAAATCAGTATATTGCAAATCGTTCAAATGACATCTTTCATGTTATTTCCAGATAAAGATTCAAGATCATAACATAAACCAATTACCAACAAAATGTGAAAAAAATCCTGTAGTATCTTCCTATGCTTAAAAGAGAAGAATTTATAAAACATTTTTTAAGGACATTTTCAGTATCTTATTGAACAAATCAATGGCAAATATTTACAGACAAGATCACCGAATAAAAAAAGTTTAATTGGAAGAAAAATGCCTTGTGATATCTCCTATAATTAAGCAATTGCATAATTAAAAATGTGAAGAAAATATTCAATACTGAACTGAATTATCTGGTTATTTTCTTGGGGTTATTTCTCAAGTTTTTCTTTCTCTTTTTTAAGTAGGTCAGTGTTTTTTTTTTTAACTCAAATAATGTTATTTATTAAATTCTCTTTCTGTCATATTTTCCATATTTGTTTTATTCAGATAAGCAGAGGAGCGCTTTTGCTGTTTTAAGAATTCCCCCTGCACACAAGTAGACACAAACTTCTATGAAGTTTGGTAAGTTGTCACAGGCAAACTGTCAAGCCACGAATACATCAAAGGATCACCACTTACACAGTGAACTTAAAAAATACCACAGACCTTCTTATCTCCTACCAACACACCTTTCACTTAAGAGTCAGCAGCAGTATTGCTTTATGGTGTCTAGTTCAAAATTTGTTCAGCAGTGGTGTTTCTTCCACTTCCTTAATCAGACCTTTATACTATTAGTGCATATCACCACGAGCACATTTTGTCATTCAGCATAGCTTTTCAATGTTCAGATTCCATCAACTGCTTGTGATTAATCTTCTTGAAAATAAATAAATATGAAACTACCCTTCTTGAATCTCAGCATTTAGCAATATCTAGCCGTCATGTTGCAGCTGTGGTTTTATCACTAACAGTCTTATCTTCCTGACCCATTTAGGTGCTCAGTGTTACATTAGAATGAAAATCGAGTTAGCATTTTGGGTCCAAAAATGTAGATAATTTTCCAGCTCTAGAAATGTAAAAAGATAGTCTATATAAAGACCCCTTCATACATATCCTCTTGCACATGGGGGGATGAAACAATTCGTTGTAGAATTACAACTTATATAGTGCAACCTGAGCAATTGCCAGTGCATTTTAAAATAAATCATCAAGATTTTGAATATATAAATAATTTTTTCTCTACCTTTCTACTCTGCAGAAGGACTTTAAGTTTTGATCATTTTTTTTTTTTCCTCTGAGGAAGTAAAGACTTCTCTGAGTAAAGACTAATGTACCCTAAAATGTGACTGCATTTAAGTCAAATTTTTTTCCAATTTCTTTGGAAGAATTCTCGGTATTAACTTCTGCTCTGATGTTAATGAATACGTATTAAAGAATCTTATCCATTATGTTACTGCATCAGGCATGCATGTAGATTAATCCAATTTGGGGTCTTTATTAGAGCAATTAAATTAGCACAATGCAGAATAGGAGAGAGGAAATTGAATTATTTGCCTTTATCCAACTACACTCAGCCCTTCTGTTTAAAGAAACCAAGAATAGTGAATGGAAGAGGAGGTAATTTCCTTTATGGTAATTTAAGGGAAGACTGTCATCCATGGAGAGAGAGTTGTGTCATTTGTTGCTGAGCTACCATTCTGAGTTGATTAGCCTGGCTTCTAGATAGAAGAGCTGATCTCCAGAGACACAGAGGCCAAGACCAAACTATTCAAAACACTCCCTCCTTCCAGTCCATTTTCTTCATTCTCTTCACTGAAGATTCACCGAAGTAGTCCCCTTGCCCTGACCATTTTTCCACTGGTCATGTTTATAAGTGGAACCTGGAGCAATCTCCTTTTTGGCTGTCTCCTGCTTCACTGCACTGCCACAGCCAAGGCCTTTTTCCTGGAAGAATCAGAAGCAAGTAGATTTCTCTCTCTTTCTGCAGTATTGCTGCGGGCCTATCTGTTAAATCTTAAATGCTAATAAATCATTAAAAAGGGTATTAACATATTGTGCTGGCCTTGTGCGTATATCTTATTCTTCACTCCCTTATAGCAATTAGAGAATCTAATTACAGAAATCATTGTGACATGCTTTGAAACAGAATCCTTCATTATATCTTATCTATATATTGGACTGGGGGAAATTAATGCACCAGGAAACAAAATGATGCACCCAGAGACATAAAAGATCTGTGTTCAAGTCAAGACTGAAATCCAACCCGTATATTTCCAATGTGTTTGTGCAATTGTTTCTGTTTTGTTTTGTTTCCTTCCAATTTTTGTTTTAAGCGACCGCTCTACAGTTATACATTCAGCTGTAAAATTACACTATGCTGTTTGTTTGCTGTTTAATTGTAATTGGCACTTAGAGAACAATTACTGAAATACAACTTGATTATCTCTGTGAACATCTCCTTCCTTTGCTTTGGGCTTCTCAGGATGGAGAGAAAAATGGGATTACTGGGAAAGAAGAACAATGTTATGGCAGACAGAGAATTGGAGTGGAAGAGACCAAGGAACTGCTCAGGTGACCATGGCATGTGCAGTTGCTGTTTCTGTGAAAGTCTCTTCTCCATAGAGAAAAGTGTATTTTCCAGCCTTTTTCTGCTGGGGTCTGTAGGGAGAATCACAGGTTAGAGGTTCAAGGAAGTGGGAGGGAATGTTGCAAGATAACCTTCCCTTATGTTATCTGCTAGGTCCACAGGCTAGAAGGACATGGTAGAGGCACTGTTTATTTCTCTTTTTTACGTATCTTATGTGAAAAAAAATGACAAGTAAAGCTTGTGCCTTCTCCCAAATTATATCTGTGAAGTCAGTTTTCATAGTGGCTGTAGGTTCCTAATTTGTGAATCCAGGCATGCTGCACAGATGTTCAGAGGGGACTTGTAGTGCAGTCTTTAGGGGAAGAATCAGTAATACTCTGTTTAGAGGCTGCTGCTTTTAGTGGGTGCGAAAAAGAACCCTGTTTTGAGAACCAAATAACTGACCAAGAATCCCTGGATTTTTGTAGTAACTGTGACTGTTGCACAACAAGTGAATGTGTTTAGACAACATATAGTGTCACTGATATTTAGCCATCGTGTGGAGCTGAATGTTAATTTCTTAATTTCTGTTTTGCTCTTAAAGCCATATGGAGAGAAATGAGCATGAAATCCAGAACAATAAAATAGTAATTTATATATGAACAAATAAATGAAGATAAGTGAAAAATAATTTTCACTGAAGAGAATTTGTTTTCATTTTGGAGATTTCCTGAGTACTTACTCTTAGTTTTAATTAAAAACAAAACAAAACAAAAAAACAGATGTGCAAGAAGTTTTATTTATAATAATAATTTAAAAATATATTCATGTCTATTTATCTTTTCCTTCAACTTCAGATTTTGTGAAACATCACTCATTTGTAAACTAGTATAAGCATATGTATGTAGTATGTAGTATGACATAAAAAATATTTCAGTGTAGAGAAATACTTCATCTTTTTGCCTCATTTGCAACTGCAACATGAGAACAGCTAGCCAGTGAGTTCTTTAAAGACTTAAATATAAGAAACATGCAGATCCTGTGTAGGTTATTGAAGAACGTAATGCCACATAGCATCCTGGAGCCAGGCCTTATTAACTCACAGAATCCTTTTTTCTACTGTACAAATATCTGACATCTACTGGATAAACATTTGACTTCTGAACCTCCTCATTTCATGATGTTGTTACCAGCAATCATTCCATTTCCTGACATAAGAAAAATGTAAGTAAATATTTTAATCTGATTGAAAAGATAGCTGTAATACAAATGAAACTCAGCCTCTGACTAATTTTTTTCTATTTAGATTTTTCAGATAGGATCAGATGGACTATTGACACTCTGGGAGGATCTTGTGAATCCAGATTATGATTTTTCCAGGAAAATAGTATGTAAGTGCTGCTCTTAGAAAACATGAAGATACTTCATAGAAGTTGGTTGAATTCTAAGGCTTCATTGGTCCTTAAAACTTGTGCTGTTATTAATTTCCTGTACTTGAGGAAATTCTTTCAGTATTAAAAAGAATTGAAAAGAATGCAATACATAAATGAAGACTATTAAGAGAAGATTGTAAGAAATTTTCATTGAGGGTCATTTTTGTTAAGTATGCATCACTTTTGTTAAATTTGCATCACTTGGAATATGAAGCCCAGGTTTCTGGGGGGAAAAAAACATAAGCAAGGTTTTGTGTATAGTATTTTTAAGTATTTAACATCCTATTTTTAAGTATGTTATATTTTTGCAATGAGATTATAACCTCTATAGAGTTATGGTTATACAGCATAGGAACTGTATTCTCTTTCAAAATTCTCACTCCTTGAATAGCAGACAGATGTTGATTTGGGGTAAATGGCACAGAAGAATTCTATTGGCTTGTTTTGATGAAACCTGAAAATCTCATCAGTTATCATCTACATCAGTTATCATATGGCTGGAGATTCAATAGTAGTGGAAAACTTTTCTCTGAGATGGTTTCACATATGAATTCAGCGCATCTTTGATGCAACTTTTAGAATGTGAAAGTAAAAAGCTAGTGATGTTTTTCATGTTTCAAAAGTAAAACCTTCCCCCTGAGAACAGCACGTGGTGTGCAGAGACTGCACAAAGCCCCACAGCGCCAGTCACTGATTCCAGTGTTCTTTGAGATGGACCATGCAGCTTTCCTTGTTGCTGTTCTCCAACTTTGTAGAAGTAAGATCTCTTTCCTATTCCTAGCTATCATATTTCTTTCCTCCTCTTACATAATTACGCGTATGATCACAACTCACGAGTGTGTCACTGTGTGCTTCACACAAATAACTTTCCAGTCATACTCATACATTAGAAATAGTTACAATATCGGCGGGTTGTGGTTATTTTTTATGAACATTTTCTTCAAGATTTTACTTCTGATGCTGCTAATGTTATTTCTGAGTTTTATTATAATTTCAATTTTTATTAATATTTGTAATCAAATGTGTTTCTTTAGTTTTAGCCAGTGTGGAAGGAAGGTTTGTGGATTCAACTGTAAAGCTTTCAGAGAAGATGAAACTGGAATGCATATATCCAAAAAAAGCTGTGATAATACAGACATCCTGGATGAAACAAAATGGAAGTCATAAAGAAAATATTGCTGTCTTGCATCCTACTTACGGCATACATATTGAAGACAAATACAGGGGAAGAATATATTATGAAAATACTTCCAGGGAAGACCAATCCTTATCCTTCAACAACAGTACTTTGGAAGATGTTGGTTTTTACTTTTGCTCCATTGTAACTTATCCAGATGGAGTTTCTGAGAAGGTAATAGAAGTTATTCATCCAGGTAAGGAAATTTCTCATCACTTTTTTAATTTCTGATAAACGCAATACAGAAATTTATGCAAATATAGGGAATATCTGGCTCTGTAACTTTTCAATTTTACTGCACATATAAATGGAGTAATTTAGGTGAAAGTACAAACACATCAGAAAATGATTATTTTGCTTTAACAAAAGTTTATTTTAAGAGAAGTAGGAAATAAGGAGTGGAACTGAAGGACACAGATGTATGTCACAGTACCAATGTGTCACATGTCAGACTTTACATAGCAACTATCATTTCAGAAGTGCACTTCTATTGTCTGCAGGATCTTCTCAGATAATTGAATTAAACCTTATAACTGCCCATGGAGGGTAATGGATTTTTATTGCTGTGCTTTATAGTGAGGATGCTACTGTGCACTGGTCTCAAAAATAAGAAAAACAGGAAAATGAACAAAGAGACAAAACAGTAACAATAACAAAAAACAGCAAGTGAAAACATTTATGAATGGTGTGGCAGAAAAAAAAAAAAAGAGACATTTAAATGAAGAAGAATGACATTTCTTTAAAAGGAACCTGCTTGAAGATGGAAAAAGTAAGAAGGAAAGAAAAAGATCAGATTCACTTATGCCTATGTACTATCTGTACAGCTGCTCACGTACTTTCCAGAGGCTCTCTAACTGTCTGACTCATCTGATTTGATTTCCTTTCCAATTCTGAGTGAGAAAGAGTAGAAATAACCCATTCATGTATTTTTCTATGCATGCCCGCTTATATTGGTCAGCTCTGGTGCAAAGTACAGAGATTCCCCGATGACAGGAGTGGAACTGTAGTCATTTAGTACTTAGAAGTTCATTACACACAAATGATAGAATAGCCTTCAGAAGACAACTGGTTTTGATTATTGGTTTATCGGTTTGATGCAGTGAACGTAAAGATAATCTCTTTCTCATCGTCCCAAGTGGAAATAGACCTCATTCAATATTTTATTGCATTTTGTAGTTAGGAGAGAATGAGTTGAAGGAGTTTAGTTCTGTTTCTTTCTGTTTGAAAGAAGATTAGAAATAATTCCTAGCCTGATCCCTCCAAATCTTACTTTCAAATTTATTTTCTCTAAACCTCTGTTATTTCAATGTTACAAATAAATAGTTGAGCTGATATTGTAGTAGATATGTAATTTAAATAATTTCAAGCTATACTGTTCCTACCTTTGCCATTGAAGACTTCTGAAACTTGATTTTAAACAACAATTTTGGTAATGGAAATGAGATAGGAATCCATATCTGCTTTCCTATCTGTATTAGCTTTTTATCACTAAACATGGATGCTTATCAAAGCAGAAATTAAGCCAGGCAAATTATTGGCCTGACTTTAAAAAAAAGCTATAATTCTACTTCTTTCAGACTAGTTACATAAGTTATTTCAGAACTGAAATTATTTCTGCCTTTGTAGTCCACTAGCATACTCATACAATTCAATTATTTGCATGGAGAGGGAATGTCCATCTGGTGGAAGAATTAAAAAGGTCCCTTAGGGTAGGCTTGCAGTTCAGATCACAGCTCCTCAGCTATGATTCCTTGAGTGTCTTCTCTGACTGCTTGCTTCAGCCTAGCATCTGTTTTATTATGTAAAGGAATAACTTTTAGAAACAGTACCTCTAGGTTTCTCTGTCAGTCTGTTCAATGTTAATATAACTCCAGGCATTAGAAACATTTTTTTGTTGTTGCATTTAAATAACCCAAGATCTGGAGATTCAGGTTGTTATTTACAAAAAGCAGTAGACAAACTAGATCTCTTCTGAGGCTCTGTTTAACCAGAGTTCTGGCAGTGAGCTGATTTAATAAAAAATTAAGTTAGATGCAGTAGAGGTTTGCAAGCTCGTTTAGTCCTTTTTGTCTGGCCAAAGAAGTGCTGACCTCAGCTATTTGTGTCTGATTTTGTAGTTAGTTAGGTAGTGAGCTTCCTTGGGATTCTATCTGTCAGTCTAATACTTATACTATGTAATCCACTTAAAGATTTCAGCACACTATAAACTAAACAAAAAAATATCATTTATCAGAGTCACATTTTTTAAATGATAGTGTTGGATATAATATTCACTATTTGGGGTACCTCACTTGATTGGAGCACTTTAAACCTCAAAACTAAAACATCCATATTTCCATTGTGTATATTTAATCTTGCTACAAAAAAAAAAGATAATAATGTTGAATAGAAGTTAATCTTTTCCCATTTAAAGAATTGAGGTTTCTCAGAACAGGAAAAATCAATTTTGCTTAGCTCCCAGTAGATGCTCATAAACAAGATCTTTGTACTCACTGATCTGGAGAAAAGGAAGCATATCAACAGCAAAGATGAAACATTGCAGCTTCAATCTACTCTGCAAATTAAATATGTTATTAAAAACAGATCTCGGAGAAGGCATTTTTTAATGTAGTGGTTATAGAAGAATTGTTATTAGTCAGGCTTTATCTACCTTTTAATAGTGCATTCATCAGTAATAAATATCTTGAATTCCTTGGATGACACCTTGCTTTGATTAAATCAACAGTAAACTTCAGTTCTTCTTCCATGCTGCCAGTATTTCAGCTTGCTGCTGATAGCATACGTATAATTTTTCTTCTTATTTGTCAGCTGGCAAAGTTAGGACATTGGTGTTTGCTTTGAAAGTTCTTGTATTCTTTACCAGAGAAAGCTAAGTGTTAGTCTCATCCTTTCAACAGAAATGGATCTGTCTCTGTAGGATGAATATACACTGCTTGATAGTTGAAGTTCAGGAAAATGAGGTCCTTTTAAAGGAATTTTATATTCTTTGTTATACACAAATCTGCCCAAAATACCAGAAAAAACATTTTACGGGTTATTAAAACGGCTTTTAATTATACTGCCCTCCTTGGTTTCTGGATCTGTCTATTGATTCACAATAAGCATAGTTTTTTAGAAAAACATTAATTTGCCTTTACTACCCCAGACAAATGAGCAACTCAGTGTAAAATCCATTTCTTCTGTTTAAACAGTAAATCAACAAATCTTTAGAGTAAATTTATTTATTTAATTGGAGAATTGCATTATGCCTAATGCTTCATAACTTATGGTTTTATTTTTTAAGATTGGTTGATTAAGCTAAAGTTGGAGCTGCCTTTAAAAGGATGCAACTTTGTGACCACAGAGTTCAAAATGAAATATAAGTTTTCTTTGGTATATTCACACAGGTGAATTTAAACTGATATTATTAAGTTTTCTATGTTAACCAAAACTGAAACCTGGATTATAATTTAATTTGCACTACCTTGCCACTTAGAAGTTTCAGATTCAGTACTGACTTATTACTCTATGGAACACAGATCTTCCTGCTAAATCACATAAGTATGAAAATTTGCACAAAGTGTCATGGATAAACTGTTTGTTTACCCAAAAAGGAATTCTTCTGCACTCAAATGGTTCAAAGTTGCTCTGGTGTTTCATTACTCTTAATTAAAAGGTCAGGAATCAGATTCTGCTTTTTTTGTATAGTTAAAAAAAAAAAAAGAAGTGAGTACAAAGTGAGTATAATTGGTATGATTCTGATTCGTCAACATTTTTTTCATTAGCACCATAGGAACATCAAGTGCTAATGCTTAATGAGTTAATATTTCATAGTGTCTCACCACTACAGCGCCATTGAGCAACACAGAAGTGCTAGCAGGTCTTTAACATTATATGAGACTAATCAGTTAGAAAAGTTGGGGGATCGTGACTCTCTTAAATTAAAAAAAAAAAAAAAAGTGTGCAAATGTGTGTGTATGTGCAAATTTCCACACTTACAATTTTTTGTATGTAAAGATTCAGTTATTAACTGAATTATTATTTATAATTATTAACAGATTGGCATTGTAGGAGAATCAGCAAAACTCTTTTTTACAACTTACTCTCTGATCACAGAAAACTTCTTCACCTCACCATGTGATAGATGGTGTGAGCTAGCTTTGTTTTCCACCAAGGGAAAAAAAATTAAAGAGAAGAAAATTTAATCCTAATAAGGCATGACTGACTTGCCACAATGACCAGAAGTCCTGAGAAATGGAGGAGGTTATAGCTCTCATTACAGATGCCTTTTCTTTTTCACTTTTTCATCGCTGACAGATGGAAGGCCCTAGAAGTGGTGATAAATCATCATTTAGAGCAATTTTTGACACAATTATTGTAGCAATTGATATTGTTTTTGTTTCTGTTTTTTACCAGATCTGATCTCAAATTTGTCCTGGGGCTCTTTCAGAAGATATAGTAAAAATATTAGGACATGCTCTGGTTTTTTTTTTTTTGGTTTTTTTTTGCCTTTAATTTTTGCTAAGATTTCTAGGATATCTGTGAAACATAAGAAAGAGCTCTCCCAGGCTGCACAATGTTACCCATGCTTACTTTATTGATTCAGAGATACAGACAGTAAAGCAATAACAGTTGTGGCATAGCTACTTCACGCGCTACATAACTATGGGATAGTTTTACAAGCATTTGCAGTACTGAAATTCTGTAACATAATTGCAGAGGACTTGAGATTGTTTTCTGTCTTTTTTTTTTTTAATTTTGTTTTTTATTTTACTTTTACATAAATACTTTGGAAAAGAATAGTCTATTTATCCCACAGGAAGATATCTGCCAGCTGTGTGAATCTATTGCTTTTTTTATCTTGTAATGTGAATGTGCACGCAGCAGTTTTTGGAAGAGAATTCAAGAGCATTTTCTTAATATTCCTACGTTTTATGAGTCACAACCTGCACTAGACCAATAGAACCCATACTTCCTGAAAAACTCCTTGCACATTTGTTGTTTTTTTTTTGTTTGTTTGTTTTTTAATGAAAAGATTCTGTAGGATTGGTTACTACTTACAATGTTTCACCTTAAGGAACAGTTTAAGGACAATCTTTTCCCTCATATACAGCAATTAGATGTGTATGACTGAAGACTGATTTTAGGTACCATGTAAAATGTGAGGAGCACAGAATAAAGTCACTGCTAATGGAAGAACCACTAGACTTGGAGACATCGCACAGAAATTGTTGAGTTACAAAACATTACAAATATTTGCTAGCTAGAAGGGAAAGCGTTTAAAATGCAGATTTATTATATATATATATGTGTGTGTGTGTGTGTGATTTTACTTTTAGATGAAAGAACAAAGAAAAATAGTCAAAAATAGTCAGTCACCATTCATGTACCTAACCGTAGCAAAGAAGCAGAAGAAATTCTCCTCTCCTCTCCTCTCCTCTCCTCTCCTCTCC